ATCTGATATAGAAAATTCTGAATTTCCGATGAATAATCGGCGGGAGACCCTGTGGTCAGTGGGGAACCATCATTGGAGGATCTTCAAGTTCACATTTCTTGTTACTTCGAAAAAAAAAGTTTATTTACAGTAACGATGATTATCCGTTACGAGGTATCCTTCTCGCCTGATTAATAAATACACGAAAAAAAGGAGACAAGGCCTCTTATTGCGAAGCTGGCGCTGATGTACAATTTTGTCCGGAAAATGCGCATCCAAGCTATCTGCACAATCCGCTCTGGAAAATCTTGCTCCCTCCCTCTCTGAGAACTTAAACCTCTGCTCTTTTTTTTGTTTTTGAAGTTTAGAAAGACATTTTAAAAAAATCACATTAAAGTCGCTTACTTCATAATAGCATGAAAATTAAAATCCCCAGAACTCTTTCGTATCCTGATTTTTGATATCTTACTAATGCTTGGCCTGCAAACTGACCGTTCAGTTATCTCTATCATACAGCCATAAAAAACGAATTGATGTGTGAAGCAAAAAAATATGTCATTTTAATCCCGTTTATCATATGAGGTCATGGCTGGAGGATTAGTGAAGCCAAAAGGAGACCAATATGTTTTTATGAAACAATTGCACCGAAATAGTCAAGGCGATCAAAGTTTGGTACCAGGCTTATGAGGGAAAGACCGAGCTAGAAAAATGACACAATTTAACTCAATGGAGAGAGAAAAAACAGGATGAAATTCGTTCTGTTAACGGCAGTACCATTTTGTTCAAGTCTGATGGCCCTAAATTCCGATCCCAAGGAATCATTTGCTGAGGAGAAGAGAAATTCATCGTATTTCGCAGCATCGAAAACAATTCTTATCATTAGTAAGCATAGCAAATTTTATAGTAAACAAACAGCTTTGTGAAGAGGACGAGGGGTAAGGATCAGAAATTTCATTCCATGTAATTTCATAAATTGATCTATTTGAATAAACATACATATACAGATATACACACACGCACACACATCGATCCAAAGCTGAAGTACACCCACACGGAGCTGCAGCTACTGCTCAAGAAAACGCTTAAAAAAATTAGCACCTCGAGCCAACAAAAATTGGGAAAGCTCATGAGAACGGGGAGAGCAACAAAAATTGGGAGGGCTTCTGACTTCACGTGGCTGACCCACATGAACGAGGAAAGCACCAGAACAACTGACATCATTGCGATGAAAAGTATCAATTCGAACAGGTGATGGCCCGCTTTGACCAGGAATGAGGGATAAGGGACGGATAATTTGGCGGAGGAACGTCAAGCAGTTTGTCGTAGTAAGCGGGCATTATTACTGACGATTGCGTTTGTATGTCCGGAGACAATTTGACCAAAAGCTTTGCAGTATGAGGAATCTCGTTGAAACAAGCACTATTCTTGTAAATAGGCAGTACTGATAGTGAAAACGATGATGATAATGATAATGGTAATCATAATTGCACGATGATAATGATAATCATAACAACACAATGATGATAATGGTGATGATGATTGTGGTGATAAAAATAAGTGGTAACAATACCAACCATAAACGCGTTGCTATCAAATTACTACCGGTCAATGGTCACTGCGGGCACTCACTCCTCCTGATACCAGTCGCGCTGCACGTATATTTCCCGCACGAAGAACAATACACCTCTTAAAAGCTCAAATTACGTGCTACGGCACTGGATTTCGGCAGGCGGGGCAGTAAAATTAAAGCATCAATGATCAAAGGTGGTGTGCACTGTTAGGGGTTGTGCTGCCAGTCTCTGTTGATTCTGAACATTCCTGAACAAATTCACAGGGCAACGATGTACCTCTACTTTTCTACAGACTCAAAAGATATAAGTGCACCTGAAATCTGACACGTGTACCTTAAATCTGACAACTCTCCACCAAGTTAAACTTCATCATAACTTTTGAGCTGCTGTTTGTTTTTAGCCAATTCCAGTGTCTCAGTCCTAGAATCTTAGCCACCTGATTTTATCATAGGCGGATCCAGGGCGGACTCCTGGAGGCAGGAGGGGACGATGGGGAGCGGGAAAAACTGTCCCCTCCCACCCTGGAACTATGCAAAAACTAGGAATAGAGTTGTAACACTGCTACTTAGAGTTACTTTAGTTTAGAGTTACTTTAGGCCTTAGTCAACTTTAACTTTAGATTTAGGCCCGGGTTTTTGCAGCACTGGTACCTGAGCCGCTGGGGCCCATATATGGATTTTACCACTATTAAGCACCTACTGCTAAACCAGTCGATTGGGATGTTCACCGGATGAAATTATTGCTTATCTGCAAAACTTTTTTTCTGCAGCAACCGACAAAACAGGAAGCTGTTAACATTGATTAATGGGACGAGAGCAGTTTCTGTTGCGATCTGTTGAAAAATACTTTGTACTTCCACCTCTTCGGTACACTTTTGCTAAAACTGCAAATTCGGGCGGCCAAGATTCACCTGTTACTGGGCAGAATAGCACCCCGCACATATTCAGGCAGGGCAGTTTGTGGACACAGAGTGCTGAACAAACTTCCCGAAGATCTGGTTACACAAACGATACGCTTTGCATTTTTTAAGAAAGTTTGACATTTTAACAGCGCGCATTGTATAATGTTGTACATATCATCGATATATCCCCGGCAAATTTGAAAATCGCTTATGCGAAAAAAAACTGATTGAGAAAAAAAAAAACTCGGTAGAGAACACAGGCCTTTCTGTTGTGAACGGAGCCCTTTCTTCGAAAATTGTTCTGGACCAGGATGGGATCGAACCAGTCCTTTTCAGGTCCGGATGCAATGTGTTACCACTACACCACTAGCCCCTGTGGAGTTCCACTGTTCCAAGTCCAGCCTGGCTACACATCTACTGTATATCTGCCTTTCAAGACACGATACATCCCCCTTCTCTTTTTCTTGGTGGCGGTCTTTTGGCTGGCTTTCCGCGGGTTTTCCGCAACATTCCTCTCCCCTTCCCCTCCCCCCCTTCTCGCCACCTGCCGCGTTATGATAGCCAGAGGTGCTCGGAAGTAGTATAGCACGAGCCAACAGCAGCCATCACCTGATTTTTTCTTGTGAGAGATCTACAAAAGCAGGACGACAGAAGTTCCGAATTTTTAACATGCGCCAGTACCAATTTATCATCGAAACGAACGAACGAATCATGGGAATAATTGCCTCAGCTGAGTGGAATTTCTTACCTTTTTTGTAACAACAGCGTTCCTTGCTATTACACTAAGCTTGCCAGCTAGGGAGTGAAAAATATTTTCGGCTTTGACTCCGAACCAACAGTTTTTTTTTTTCAGGAATAACTTCGAAATATGTCAGAAACAAAATATGGGGATTTCTGAATTGTGTTGAAACCAGTTATCACAATGCATGCATATCTGTGTGCTATAGGTGCAGAAACATATTTTTTTAAAAAATTTCTCTTCATATTGCACGACACAAATGAACAATCAAAAAATTACAATAATTTCGGGTATATTCATTGGAAAGTCTTCTTGCTATGTAAATCTTTCAAAACTTCTTCCAACTCGTCGTCTTCCATTTTGTTCTCCAAACTGAAACCAGTTAATTCGTTAATTCAAACAATGCAAAACAGAGGAGGGATCAACAGACCAAATGGATCCTTTTGATTCAAAAATTCCAAGACAGTTTTTGGCGTCCACAAAAAAAAAAACAAACCTCGGAATCAATGCTTTTGCTTCCTCTGAAGTTTCTGGGCACAGATTTGCAATTTGTGCGACTTCAAATTTATGCAGCGGTTTTGTCGCTAACAACCTACAAAGATCAGAGATTAAAAATGATATTTTCCATTCAAACTTTATGTATCCCGAGATGAAGACAAGACCCAAGATAAACGGATTACGCTATCACAAAAAAATAAATAAAAACCAAAATCCAAATCAAACAATGAAAAGCGATTGATTCGGTCGAATTCTGAGAAATTATATTCATTTTTCTCAGAGAATTCTGACAAACTCCACAGAATTTCGCACTTACGTTCGAACAGCTCTGATTGTTTCCCTGTTTTTGAAACGCGCCATCCGTCGCGTATAATTCAACGTTTTCACGAACACATCGCTCATCTCATCAATTTCTTCCTTCAAATCGAGCAGAACAAAAATAACTTAAAACGAAAGATGAAAAAATAAAAACACAATTTTTTTTTTAAAACTTCGCATCCGAACAAACCTTCTGTTCGCTCTGTTGGCGACGATGTTCCAGCAGTAAGTATACTTCAGATGTGAGTAGTGTGTCAGCTTGCTCGAACTCTGAAAAAACACGAGCATTAGGAACATGAGAGGGATCATAACGGATCTACAGAAAACTCGGCATCTGGGAGCACCCTAGTAACATCACAGTCTGATTTAAAATTAAGACGTATATGACATAAAGGACCGAAACATCTTACCTCAATTTCCCCTCCTTTCCTCTCTTAATTGCCCCTTCTTCCCCGTCCAGCCTCTGCCTTTACCAGTAATAGGGGATACCCAAACTGATAACTCGAGCGGTCTTGGTATTTTTTTTTTGTAAAAAAATATCAATTCCAAAACCCTGAATGCCCAAAAACAACAATAACGGCTAAGGGACATGAAAACATTTATTTTTTCTTTTAAGCTATGAATATGCAAATTTGGTGGAATCGCAGGAAGGTACGCTTTCAAGCTGAGGATCGAAAATTCAAACCTCCCTTTCTGAGAACCCTAATCTCTCCAAATTAGACTCATTTTTTCGATCATAAATTTGTAGTGGCATATACTTAAACGGTCATAAACTTACTGCATAGCAGCCATCAAAATATGGTTCCCATTTTCAACCGTGCCAGGGAAGCTTTTCTACCTGGTGGCCACAGATCACAAAGACTGCATAACTTTAAAGAGAGTAGAGTGTCCAAAGACTGAACCAGGGAAACAGAAGTGTAAATCAAAATCATGCAATAGTTCTTTACGCAATTTCTAACAAAAAGCAATAAATCATTATGTGACAAGAAAGTGCAATACAAAAGTTTGTATTTTGACTGGCTTGGAGCAGAACAAATACCTTTTGGAAACTTCAAATCGGTAGCATCTTCATCAACTGTATCGTCCGGTTGTGTGACTGGCATTGCTGCCTATCAGTGGAAGAAGTACATAAAAAAACCGCGAGATCTGAAAAGTTCTGTACAGTCGACAGTTTTTTTTGAGTCCCGGATAAAAACGGTAAAGGATATACAGAAACTGACAAGACCGAGTGAGATCCCCACGAAATCTCAGTAAAACTCCCCTATCCTGCCCAAGAAACTTCGGCTTGGCTACGTAATAAAAACAGTAATAAAAAAATTTAATGTTGAAAAAGGAAAAAACAAAATAATAGTAAGAAATTAGTAAAATTTGCAAAATATTATAATGTTAAAAAATATTTCGGTTCATTAAGTCGTATACATTTCTTACCATTACCACAACTGGACCTCGTCAGTACGATGACTGTGATAATTAGTGTGGATTTAATTTAAATAGTTATTTTATTGGAATTAGTAAAGGTAAAAGTAAAGGCTACAGCATGTAAACTTCTCTCCCATCCTGCGCAATTGCTAAAAGTTAGTTTTATTCGGCTTGGAAGAGCTGAAAGACGAGTTGCAATGATTGA